TTTTGCTCTTTTCAGATGGCTATCTGAACTCGGGTTCCATAGTTGATCTGGATATACATTGGAAAGGATCACGTGCATTTTGTTTACCATAGAACGAGTTTACTCCAATGTTGAGGTCTATTTAAATGGCCCACTGAACCGATCAAGGTGAATAATCTCTATTCATCCCGTTGGTTCGTTTGAATTTCGAACCTAGTCGGCGTAAAGCTGATGTGAAACCTTAGAAATCAGTAAAATGACAAAACAATTAAGTTTACCATTCACACTTGTGAGATTTAGTTATAAGCATTAGCTCGAAACTCCTCTTAGATTAATTTGGCTTATGGTTGCACTCCCTTGACCTACGCTTCAGTGGTTNATGGTTTATAATTGTGCACACTGAAATTGAACTCAGTTGCAAAGGGAATTTCTACCCTTCGTTTGGTGTACTTTTTCACTCCTAGATAGCGATGTCCAATGGTGTGATCGCTTGTGCACCTCTGTGACCCAACGAGCTACACAGGATGGCTTTTGTCAATTCATAGGTCCAGTCATGCCTGAAAAGTCGAAGGGCAGAGGTCAGACGAAGTCCAGTCTCCTGGTCCTCCAGGTTGGGGGTTCCACTTGAATTGGCGTCTCAGTCGGTTAAACATGTGGGAGGAGTAACCGACCCAAGTTAATGGGCCTCCAATCCGCCTTAATCGCTGCCCTGCGGTTGAACTCCCTGGCAATACCCATCCATGGGGCTCCAATTAACACGAACTAGAAATAATTTCACGCTGCATCGGTCGTTGCGCAGGATAGTAAAAACCGCGCTGCCTATTGCACCGAGTGGGGTGGGTGATGATAAGTGGGCTACTGCTCAGACATCCCAACCTTTGTTCAACTCTACCTTTCGTACACCAACAGTGTCCCTTTGCCCCTTCTTCCGATCCGTAACATTTCTCCAGACAACGTGTTCGTCGTTACCGAATAGCACTATAAGTGGTGTTACAGAGGACAACAAGCGAATACGATCGTGGAT